CTCTTCTTAGATATGAGACCGGTTTTAAGACTTTTCTGGTCGCAAAATACCGCCCATGTGATAATAGCTTTTACAAAAGGCGAGGGAAGTTTATATAAAGTTACGTATACCAATGTCTAAAAACATCAATCGTTTCTCCTCAAAATCTGTAACTCTCATTCGTGAGGCCGATCTCCTCTTAGATTTCGGACCGGCCGCGTGTTGCTACCGCGCGCAAAACACATGTTTTGGGGTGTTACATTCAAGAATACAATCGCACAGCTTAAAATAACTCGCATGCACGCACTTCATTAATCGCGTCCGTCCCGCCCCGCCCACTATCAGAAGCGATGTTGCCAGTTCTAGGATGAAATTGGCCAATATACCGTGTTTTTGAATTGAGGAATTGCACAACTTGGCGATGGGAATCGGAGCCGCCAGCTGTCACGGGAGGAGTCTTATTTTCTGAAGTAGAAACAAGCGCCATTCACTTACGGAGTACCTCCGGATAAGTCAGCTTTCCGCGTCTTCCTTTAATCCATAATTGCAGCCCGAGGATTTTACTCGACCTTGGCAATTAATAGGAATTTAGTGAGAGAGCTCTGAAAATTGCAATCAAGGTTACTGCGAAGAAATTTTCCTGTTTCGTGTGCGCTAACCGCTAATGAGCTATGTCAGTGATTCTTAAATATGAAAGCGCTATCAAACATGTTCAAAAAGCAATAGCTCGACATGAAAGCTCCCCTAGCGCTGAGGCGAAGTTGCCGCTAAGAGAAAAATGTATAATTGACTTCTTGCAGTTTTGCTATGGCAGTTGCGGATTGCTAAGAAAGATATCTTCCTCTAAATCGATGTTTTTCTAACGGGATGCAAAGAGCGCTGGAAATTGATGCCCCTTCAGTTGCCTACTTATGCAATACGGACATCCAATGAGCAGGATTACATGTATCCCACAAGCACCGCTAGGGATATACTCTACCGTACCATGGAAAAACGCCGTTTGAACAATTGCAAATCGCCAAATTTCCCTGAATAAAACCTGCATTTTTTAGGAAAGTTATGCACACTCTTCCTTGAAATTTTCATATAATTAAGATTAAATTGCGAACAAAATTATCTGAAAAATTCGGGGAAAATTTTCACGATTTTCCCAATAAATTTGCCTTTTATCGAAGTAATTATGGCAACTTTGAAGGCTCGTACGGCGTTCTTCCTTAGCACAGCAATATTTTACCTCTCCCCCACCCCCTACCCTAGTATAAAATTAGTATTAGAATATGCGTAATGAGATTTTTTATTGTATCTACTTTAATAAAGTTAGGTTAGGTTAGGTTAGGCATTTACCGTAAAGGATCTCAATAATTTGTCAACGGCCGAATGAAGTATTTTTAAGGTAGATTTGGCAGCAGTTGAGTGGAACATCGGGGCGGACAGGACTATACGGTGGCCATTTGGTTGATTAATAGCCATCAAGCGTAATTAAAACGCAACAATCCAACGGTTATTTCTACAACAATAATTGGAATTATCGCGGCTGTTTACGACTAATCCGGTGGCTGAACGAGCGCCAAAACCAAGCCGCGAATTAAACGATTCACCAGGACCACAATCCAGTTCTCGTACTCGTCGCGCCCGGCATTCCTCACTTTTCTTTGTTTCAAATACTCGTCATGAATCAAAATATCGCCGCTTTGTTATTGTGAATCTGTCAATCGTCCCTTTTGTATATCGCCCTTATATGCCTATTGAAACTCATTGTCGGATCAGGCATTTTGTTTTATGCCTATGCGAAAGACAAAAGCCCACTAGACAAGGTGCATTATTACAATACATGGTTTCCCAACAAACTTTCACGAATGTGATTGTACGTATGTAGAACACGATTTGTGCAACGAATATTATTGAGAGTTATCTCTAACCGAGATATTAAGGTTTTCCGATGCATAAATTCGGACTTCTCGCTGAATAAGAGTACCATTTTCACCAATAATTCAAATTATGATTTTTCGACTCAAATACCCGAGAGCTTGGGTGCAGTCGAGTCGCCTGTTCTCTGCAGTAATGTATAGACGGCAAGTTAAGGAAACAGTCGTCTCAATATCGGCAGTGTTTCAAAGTGTGCATACCTTCTCGTTAATTTTTTAAGCGTCCAATGGATACTTTTCTTGGAAATCTTTAGGAAGTTGTCTTGAAAAAGTGACAAAAAATCAAACGAATTGTGGGCTACAGGGATGATCAATCATTTTTGAAGAGAGTAAAATCCATCAGAAAATTTGCGGAGTCACTAACAGATCCCCCTCTCCGCTTATTATTTCATAAGGCCACCATTGAAAAAACGGAGACCAATAAAAATATAGTCAAATTTTAATATAGGGAATTTTGTCTAATGACTGCGTAGATTGCTCTTTTTAAACAAAGTGCCATATTATGCGAAAAGTGAGAATTTCTCAGTGAATAATAAGGGTGGCTCTATTGAATATACCAGATTTTCTTAGCGGAAATTACCTTTGGATCAACTGTAATTCCTTTCAAAGTGTCACAGAAAAATACTGTACATCAACGACAACGACCGCATCAAAAGAACAAAATCTTACACTGGATACTGTCATTGCTCTTTAAATGACTCGTTTACCTTTTTAATAGAAAATCTGCCGTATAAGATTTCTTAAAATTAACTATAAACTCCTTTCGAATGAATTGGATTCCCCTCTTTCCGTCAGTAACTTACAACTTAAGCGCCGGTATGCGGAAACCATCGCTAACGCCACGACTGCATGTCTATTTTGCTGCATTTTCAGCGTTGATAGACTAACGCGAGCGCCTCTCCGAAGCGTAAATCAAGATAACGGCAACAGCTTTAATTAGACCCTCGAGAATTTCGGACACGGTCGATTTGGCGTCAACAATTGAATTATTACCAAGAGCATATTTCCCCAAAAATAAAGCAGCAATTTTCTCACGGAAGCGGCGCGGTAAGAAAATCCCTCTACGCTGATGTAATATATATCGCGGAAATCTTAATGTTTCATCAGGCACGCTACTCGCCCGTACAGAACATAAACCGCTTAACTGTATCAGAAATGTAATTATGCACACGTCATTTTCGTCAATATCAACAGAGCTCAAGTCGGATTTGGTCCTGCGTGGCAACGCGGTGTAACAACTATTTCGTGTGTGTCAAAAACGAGATTTATACGCAATTATTAATAGGCGGTCTTCCGTTCGCAAGAACCGTTTTGAAACACATCAAAGATGCGACTTTATTAATGGGTGCTGTTGCTTTTCGCGTGCCTGAGATGTCACTTAAATGGCTCTCTTGAAGGGGGTGTCTAGGAGTGGATTTCGCGAGGATTTTCCACCAAGTTTGTCGCAATTGAAGCATTCACCTATCGTCGTTGATGGTGGTCTATGCGTTATGTGACTACGATGTTACCTTAGATGTCGTAAATTACGTCCTTGTTGACGATTTAAAATGTAATGACGTCAAACAATATTGGAATCAATGTAGATACTTTTTTCTTTAAAATTTGACTGTGCTATAGTTTCAAAAACAAACGGACAGTTTTAACCAAAACCAGCCTACCGGTATATGTTGCCAACTAAATTCTCGTCATGCCTATTTTTTTGTCTTTTTTTAACAGAAATCGAAACAACGCAACATTTAGAACATTTATGTAAATTTTTCATGACTCGTACATCGTAGTATAAAATTATATACTTACGTAATTTGAAATCAGAATTTTGCCTCGTTTTTTTTAAAAAAAAAACAAATAATAAAACATCTGAGGAAATTAGACAACATCTAATGTAGTTACGCTGACTTCGGTTGAATCTGTCCATACATTTTTCGATAAGTGAATTTTCTACTTTTTTTTATCGGGAGGCTAATTTATGAAATTGATCAGACAAAGCGAAGAACAAAAAAGGTAAAGGAAAAGCTCAAAAAGTTTGAATGATAGCGCCTAATTGGAACTAAATTACGGCTGGTGGGAAACGCTTATTAGTACCTACAAGGCTGCAAGAATACTTCGCAGGCCGGTGCGGCACTCTTATTAGCGCCTGCACGACTGCATGAATACTTCACGCATTGCGGAGCGCGGTCAGAACGGAAAGCGGAACGCTCATCAGCGCCTACAAGACTGAAAGAATACCTCACACGTTGCGCATACATCACTATACACGCTCTAAAATTAATATCCTTTATTTCTCAGTATCGGACCTACCGCGGTGCACACACTTTTTGGTAGATATAAACCGCGAACCTGGGAATAGATTCGACGGATTGTAGAGATTATGCACCTCTGCAATAATGTTTGCCATTTCTGATGAATTATGGCGTTTGATTATTGTAAATTAAAAACACAGCGATAATCAAAAAAACCTAAGTGAAAATGAAGCGACTCTATCGGTGAAAGCTAGTTGTTCCAATGGACTAAGGAGATTTAAGTAATAGACTAACTAACAGCAACCCACGAGAAATCCCATAGTTAGTTTATCATTCCCTCACTTAGTCTATAACAATCAAAAATCCATTTCAACCAAAGGGATCGCTCGATTCTTCTTTTGTACTCTTTGTATGTATCGCGATTGCATAAATCAGCCCGCTGAAGACTCCAGAAAATCTATTCCGCTACGTACTCATTTCATTCAGAGCCTATTCCAAATTTCAGACTCAATTTCATAGGCTTCGGAATAGACACTTGTGTGACATTTTGATTTTTTAGCTTAATTGTCATGCGTTTGTCACAAAATATTAGTGCAGCTCTTTATTCCGCCAACGAAGGGATGCAACTGAACTTTGAGATGAGGCCTATTGTGTTTCTTTCATGCATAGCTTGGCGCAGCTCACCTGAAATTTATAACGTTCTTATATGTTACTGGAGCGACAATTTATTGTAGCGGCAGCTATCAAGAATGTGTCACCCTCCTCGGGCGCTTTTTATGTTCAACTAACACGAATATTCACCGAATTTTGTCGCATCAATGCGTGTGACTGATCGTTCTGTGAAACTGTGTTACAGATGGATGGTGCAATCGATCAAGGATCCGACGAAACAAGGGTGGATTCCGGCGAAGATCCTGAGGTTAGAACAGAAAGCCGAAATCCCGGCTGATGACCAAACCATCCACGAAGCCCATTTCCAACGCGAGTAAGTTATTAAGAGTAGAATATCATCCATAAGACCTCTAACGAGTTTTGATATTCAACTGTTACATTCATGCAGAGTTTTAATTTTTCCTTTTTAATATCTTAGATAAGTTAATTTCAAAACGTAATATCTAAGTCAATTATCATCTATTTCTAAGAAACCTGAGCTACGCGGGCGTGCTACCCAACTTAGAAGGCTATGAATATCTGTCGCAGACAAAAAGTAAAATTACGCATTTTGTCAAATGCCTATAGGCAAATAGTCAAATATTTACACGTGGACTGGAATTCCGATTTTTTTCCTACTTTGGACAATTGCTTCTTTTGGACATTCATTGCTCTTGTAAGAAAGAATTCTCTGTAAAATTCGCATGATACCAAATAATTTTAAACGATTTTTAGCTTCTGAACGAAAATTTGTGTTGACATTTTTGGCATATCATAGGATATATGTAGAATTCCTGAAGGCCTAGGCCTTTAGATTTTAACTTTTGAATACATGAGAAGCATATGAGAGGAAGTAAAAAGGAGAGTTCGTCGATTTGATGAGTTATTTTTCCCAAATCATTTAAAACTCGTGAGACAAAGCGTAATCATCGTCATAGGACATCCGATCGAGTTCCTTCGACAGAGTGTCACGCCGCCGTCGATCCCAAACTTGCGCCCCTAAAAAGCCGTACCTTTAAAAATATATAGTAGCTACTTTTTCACATTGTGAATAGATCTGATGATAGTAGCGACTCTTGAAAGTTGATAAAACTGTTTCTCGTCCACACATTTAAATATATATAAAACAATCGATCTGGTGAAACATCTTGCCTCACCTAAAATCGATATTTATAATGGACTTTTTTATTTTATTCAGAATTTCACCTATTTTACAATATTAAGACATTTACTGATTAATATAGAGATTAAGAATAATTATGCTAATTGGTGGGTCTATTGCAGCCCTATTGTGAGTTTGGACACTAGGACAGGGTCCAAATTTACAAATTACAACGTTACATCGTTACAATGATTACAATGTAGTTTACAATGTTTACAATTTACATGTTTGTTCATACCTGGGGGTACGGGGAGCCACGGGGGGGGGAGGCATGGGGGGAATATGGGGCAGCAAGTGCTTGGGTTGTATGGACTTAAGTGGAGGAAAAACATTGTTACCAACATGCAAATTCGGCACTGTCTTATGATAACGATTGAATTATACTTGAACCACGAGCAGTAGTAACCTACCTGTAAGTTCATTGCTACATCAGTTTACTCATAAGCTCAAGCGTCAGTTTCAAATCGGACGGGTGGCCAAGCAACAGCTGGGAGGTTTCATTCAATTTAAATTTTGGACCCCTGCCGCCGTTTCGGATACGGGTTATTACCTCGAAAATTCCCCTCTCTGACCCTTGAATTATGACGAGCGTTTTTTCCACGATTGCTTAACCTAAGAAAACGCCTATTTATCACGGCTATGATCGCGAAGTCTAAACATTAATCACGGTGCTACGAACACCCGCAGATTGTTTTGAATGGGAAAATGAACTTTAAGAATAGATCAAACCGAGTGAACTAGACCACTAGGTTATTGCCAACATTTGGGGGAGCGGCGTCTTTGACCCCTCAGAACTGCAGGTCATTGCTTACATCATGATAAATCAAAAATTTGTTGGTAAACAGCGTCATTTCATTCGATGAAACAATACCACGAAAGTTCTAACTTGCTATTTAATTGCCTAAGAGTGGTAGTTTAAAATGACCGCTGTACATTTATGTAAATTATCAGAGACAAAATGGTCGACATCACATCATAGGCATTAGTGCCTGCATCTTTAAAATAGGAAACCAATTTGCTTCTATTATAAATAAAAAGTCCATTATAAATAAAGATAAGTCTATAATATAAGTCTGATAATATATAAGTCTATTATGAATATAAAGACGGCCTGAACGTCCTGTGAAAGGTTGGCGATAAGGGGTGAAGAGGAGATCAGAAGGTGGCAATTGCCTGATGATCTCTGGGAGGATATGGGGCAATGGCGACTGGGCTTCGCAGAGCGCGAGGTTGCGCTGTGAAAGCGGCTTAATGTATATGTGTATAAATAAAAAGTTGGAAGTATCCAGAATTTTTAAAAATTGAAATTTCATCAGTGTGAGCTACTGACCCATTATAAAAAATCTAGCTATATCGTCTTAAATCAAGGATTTGCCCGTCTTTGGATTTAAAGTCATTTTCATTTTTTTTTTACATACCTCCATGTAAATTTTTTATGAAATTCAAGAATTATTCCGGTGATTATTTTTCTTTTTCATCTCAAAGTAATCGAAATAATACAAATTAAGCTGTGTTTTTGTTCAGGGCTGTCATCCGAGAACTAGTCGAAACAGAAGAAGAATTTGGCCGAGACATCAGGCGGGTGGTGGAGCGTTACCTGAAACCCCTGGACAACAACTCAGTACCCAGGATCATACGAGACAACAAGGATCTGATCTTTGGAAACTTAAAACAGATCTCAGATTTCCATAATACGTAAGTATTTTGAGAAGAGTATGAATATGATTACACACAGCCGAAAAAATTTTAAGAACTGTAAATCGGAAATAACAAAACATTAATACCCATCCACGGGCAGAACTATAGATTTGTTTTGTAGGAGGCAGAAGAGCACACCAAGAAAGGTTTGGAGGCACAGAAAGATATCCCATTGAGGTGGAACTAAGGAGACTCCTCCAGCAGTGGCGAGGTGTGAATGGTCGATTATCGATATTCCTCATTTGAAGTTATGGTAAAGAATCGATTAGTAAGGTGTTCGCTACAAACACCCTGTTTATCGATCCTTTTCCATAGGTTTAAATGATAGATGAATCTATACATTGCAAAGCGCGCAACGCCTTGTCCTCCAGCTTCGTAAGAGGGCTTATACAAAAGCTCCAAAGAGGGTTGAGGGAGCCTCCATGAGAAAAGTTTGAAAAATTGAGTCGACTTAGGGAAAATTTTGAGCTGTTTCTACCAAAAATCTTATTGGAATACAATGTCACAGACGGAGGTTATGTCACCCACTCAATTAGCAAAATTTCCAACATTTTCCAGAGATTGCTAAGTAGATTTCTGCGGGGGGGGGGGGGGGGGAAGGCAGGCTTCCCGGCCCCTCCTCAGTGCCGGCGCTTATGTACCTACCCTCTTACAAGTTAAGTTAAATTGACAGTTCAATTAGGAGGTAATTTTCAATATAAATGCTTCACGTGTACCTCGCAATACTTTTAGCGAAAGAGCAAATATTGCAGTGTTCAAGACATATATCCTCTGTTTGAATCCTCAATGATTGATGAGACCAAGTTGGTGGAAATCCCAATTTTCTGTAACTTTTTTTATAACATCAACCATTGAGATTTTCAAAACACACAATCCTCATTCTTTAACGGAAGGACTTGCTGTTTCGACGATTACTGAGCTTCAAGTATCAGGTTCTTAAATGGACTATTCTGCCATTAGAAAGTACTATTATTGACTCATTTTCCAAACGCTCTATGTGCCATTAGTTTTTTTATACAGATAGGTGTTGAAATGAATGAGTGAAAAATAGTAGTTCCTAGTCGCAAAATGTAATCCGAAATATCGTGCTCAGGCAGTTAGATTCGCAAAATAACAAGATCCGACCAAATACAGTATAGAATATCGACTATCCACGATTCTGGATCGTGCGTGATTTTATCATAAAACATAGGAGGCTCTCTTTTTAAGGTTCAATCATGTAAGAAACAAGGGATGCCCAGTCACAGGCCGAGCGGCGCAGGATATAACAATGCGTCTTAATGCAAAGCTTGAACATTGTGAAATCGCTTTTAGTGCAAAAATCGGATTACTCAGTCTATGGAAAGATAGAGAATCGGCAAGAAAATGGAAAAACAACCGATCACATCCTGTATCTTACTTTAAATCTGCGATACTTGATTATCCACGATTTTCGATTATCCTACGATTTTCCATTATCCGCGATTTTCGATTATCCACGAGTCTCGATTATCCGCGATCCCTACGTTCCCAACCATTGCGGATAATCAAGACTCCTCTGCGCAATGTCCTCCTCTACACCCAAAATTAAAAGCTATAACATTCAAGTTATCGATTCTCAAGAGGAGTGTAACTGAGAATGATTCGGCACTGAGTCATTAGGGAGCTAAAAACAAAATTTGCAGAGATACCGGCAAAAAGAACGTTTAACAGGAACGCGGTCCATCGACCATCACGTGGGAGCGAGATCTTTAACTTTTTATTGCGAGCGCGCAAATTCGTCAGCCGGCAGGAGGGTTGTTTATTGCCGCATTTATGTATCGATCCAATGAGATCTGAAGATCAAAACACAGACGCACCGTCATGGTTGAACCACCCGGTCAAGCACAATCCAGATTATGCCGACGCATCGAAAATCGATAGTATCGAAATTCGGTGATTGGAGAGGGAGCTTTTCTGCGTCCGAAGTTTCGATGCATCGAAAAAGCTCGCTTGTCTGAATGTGGAGGTTGCGGTCCGAAATCGACAGTTTACCCGATCGGAAAAATCGGCGAGCAATAAAGCTCTCCGCGAGTGGAATAAACAAACCACGTGAAAACGACGGCTTGTGAGTGTGACGCAGACCGTGAGAAAAATGTGAGGTTATTTGACGTCACGGCCGCCACGGAGGAGTTGTCAAATCGGGGGTTAAAAATGAACTTTTTTTCCCTCGTTCTCTCCAATCTAACTCATTTTTCTTTGATTCGAAAACCATGCCTCGAAATCAATATCTTTTATTTCTTCACTAGAAAAAACCACATTGAATCTAGAGCCTAGACTCTTGAAAACATTGACAAGAAAAAATACTCTTGATTCAATCGGATTTTTGCTTGAATCAAAACGAAATCCGCTTAAATTAAGAGGCTTGGTTCTTAATTTAAGCTAGGTTCTGATTGAATCAAGAGTACTTTTCTTGTCGATGTTTTTAAGAGTCTGGACTCTAGATCCAATGTGGTTTTTTTTTCCAGTGTTCGTAAAATGGAGGCATAAGGTAATGAGGTAGTGTTGCCCCGCGTCGCATTGAAAAATTAGAAATTGAATTTTATCACCTCCATAACGGAAACCACATAATGTTAAAAACTGATGTACGTGGTATCGTATCGTTTCACCATAAATTTCTCTCATTTTTTACCGTATTTTCCTGGTACACTGCTTTCACGATACGAATGGTCTATAAATTCTGTATTCATGATAAAAATATTCGACTTACAGTTATGAAATATTCCAAGAGCACTGCAATGCAGATTCCATTATCAACTCTGTCCCATATATTTTATACAGGGTGTCCCAAAAGTCCCTTCCACCCCCTCTAAAATTTTACCTAATTAATATTTTGAAACGAAACTTTGGGGATGTTCATCGATCAATGTAAGCTACTTTTGGGGCCCCCCAAAATTTTGGGGGCCCCCCGTGGGGAGGGGCTGCGGACCCCAACTTTTTTTTTTCAAATGGCAACCCCTATCTTGTGATACCTCATTCGAAAGAGCATAAAAAACTAAGAATTTTGGCGCAAACCGCAGATCAATATCTTAATTTTTGACCGAGTTATGATAGGTCAAAGGTCAAATTTGACCTACTTTCAAAAAATCATAACTCCGGTTCAAATTATCGTAATGAAAAAAATAAAACGGGAAAATTTACCACATTGTAAGCACTTTTAAGGAAAAATCACAGAAATTACTTCAAACTAATTTTAAGGGGGGTTTCGGACCCCCAAATACGCCAATTCAAGGGTCATTCAATTTTCCCGCAAAATATCCCTCATTTTCCCCAGATTTGCCTCCACTTTAGTTCAGTAAGGTCAAAATCAGTTCAACATTACGTTGGCAAGTCCCCAAATTTCCGGACAAGTTGAAAAAAAAAAATTTAAACGGTCAAATTTAATCACCTTTAATTTCGTTTTTTTTTTAACTTTTCCGGAAATTTGGGGACTTGCCAACGTAATGTTGAACTGATTTTGACCTTACTGAACTAAAGTGGAGGCAAATCTGGGGAAAATGAGGGATATTTTGCGGGAAAATTGAATGACCCTTGAATTGGCGTATTTGGGGGTCCGAAACCCCCCTTAAAATTAGTTTGAAGTAATTTCTGTGATTTTTCCTTAAAAGTGCTTACAATGTGGTAAATTTTCCCGTTTTATTTTTTTCATTACGATAATTTGAACCGGAGTTATGATTTTTTGAAAGTAGGTCAAATTTGACCTTTGACCTATCATAACTCGGTCAAAAATTAAGATATTGATCTGCGGTTTGCGCCAAAATTCTTAGTTTTTTATGCTCTTTCGAATGAGGTATCACAAGATAGGGGTTGCCATTTGAAAAAAAAAAGTTGGGGTCCGCAGCCCCTCCCCACGGGGGGCCCCCAAAATTTTGGGGGGCCCCAAAAGTAGCTTACATTGATCGATGAACATCCCCAAAGTTTCGTTTCAAAATATTAATTAGGTAAAATTTTAGAGGGGGTGGAAGGGACTTTTGGGACACCCTGTATATTATTTCCGCTCTACAATAAATTATTACATTTTGTAGCCTAGAAATAAATACCGTTGAGGAAATTACGGAGCCACTTATCTCAGATTGAAGCGTTTTAGATTCCTTGTCTCATTTTATTTTCTCAAAAGATGATTGAGTATTCTTCTTCAGCGGAATGCGACTTGATTTTTCCCTGCCCTCACAAAATATTTGCTGAAAATTTCGTGCAATAACAATTTCCAATAATCTCCACAAAAATGAAGTGAGGGTCTTTGTTGAATTCTGAAACACTGTAATTAAGATCTGTGCTGTCGCAATTTCCCTCTACCTATGTACGTTTGGAGCCGCTTCTTTCTGTGAATTTCAAAATTTATTGCTGGTTTATAATATCGATATGGTAGTGGTACTGCCTCTATAAGAACAGCTAGTGTGAATATACACTTAACTCGTTACATAGGGTCAGCCTGGAAAACGATGTGTCTAACTAAGGAAGGAAAGGTAAGGGAGGAAAGAAAAGGAGGTATGAGATTGAACAAGAATCGATCATAAATTTGGACAGCAGGCTGTCGGTTTGGTCCGCTGCCAGAGTTTGCAAAATTTGCAACAAATCAATCGTGTGTCACCTTACTTTTGCTGAAGACTATGTTGTCAATGTTTCTCCATACATCTGCTTTCAATAAGGATGAGTTTGTGCTGAAATGGCGATTATGAAAATATTCTCTTAGGAAGAACACAGGTTTGTTTTTTTCGCTACAGTATAAATATCTCAGATAGTAAAGCCTCATTTTTGATATAAATTATAAACCCTAAATTTTTAATTGGGTAGTGGACATTGTTCGAGCGTAATCAAGTTGTTTCACATAATTCAAAATTAGCTTACAATTAAACTACTTGCAAAATTTGGAATTTTAGATCAGTTTTAAGAGAAATTTCGTTACGCATCTTGAGTCTCATTCCACAAATACTTTTTGTCCCTAGTTAATGTAATTTAATATTGAGTTAAATCTGTGATCGTAGACGTGGGTGAAGACTTTTTGTCCAATCCCTTTCTTGGCACCCAATTATTTAAAATTCGTAGTCATGTTTAATTTTTAGTTTACTTCACCTACTCCATGTAAATTGATCTCATGTCGTGCACCCTAACTCGTTCGAGCAAACTTGAAAGACGCACATTTGAATTCAAAAGGGTTGCTACAGACCATATTAATTTTACAATGTGGATGCCAATTTTTGAAATAAAGTCGGCTTTGACCGTAAATTTACTTATTTTTCTCTTAATTGGTACAATAATATCAAATTTATGTGATGAATTTTCCTTTTGTTGACTAGTTTGGCAATCTGGCTCAGCCTTGAGAGATTGGACTTTCAATTTCTGTTGTGAAGTTTCTAGAATTTCATATTTTGTCTCGTGGAGGCGGGCGAAAAAAGTCGAAAACAATGGAACAAGGGAGAGTCCGTTGTTGTCATATTTTTGAATATTTCATTCTCATCCAACTTTGGGATAATTAATACATTATGAAGAGATGGAAACAACCATAAGCACGGGTTGAATAACATGATGGGTCCGCAAAATTTTCAGTACCACGTAATTTTGAATTTGACCATTTCATCTTCATATCAACGGTGAAACTACCAAACCACGTATCTCGGTTTGCGACGTCGCAGACTTCCTGTCATACTTTATTTTTTAAATGAAAAACTACTTAACATCCAGTCTTGAAAATTTCTGTCATTTTTCCTCTTTGTGCGGAGAAAATTTCGTGAAAATTTCAAGGAATGATATTGATTTGGTCTACTTCAAAAAAATAAAATGTGAGCGTAGATTTTTAAACACCGCAAACGAGATACGTGGTTTGGTAGTTTCACCGTCGATATGTCACCTAAGGTGCTAAAAATTAAAACTTTATTTTTTTACAGAGACCTTAATTTTAAGCTGAGCCGCCTTCGCAAATCGTGTCAAAATCTTAACGTCCACTCTACTTTTTGTCCGTTCTGCTAAAATTTCCGATAAATAGTTGCAACAGAGCATAGTCGTGAGAGAAAGTCATAAGCAACTCTTCATCGATCCCAAGAATAAACCCAAAACTGATCAGTTTTGCAGTGTTGTACGTACAGCTTTGAATATACTTCAAATATTTATTCATTTGTTTTCAAATGAAAGCACATGAAAATAAATTTCCAATCAAATTTTCCACGAAGAAAGAGTGACTCGAAATTCTTAAATATTGAAGTCGACACTCGCAATTCCATTGCTCTTTTACAGTTATTCCCGGTATATCATTTGATATAGCCAATGTAAGCCCTTTACAATATTAATTTGGTCATGTAGACTACACGGTTGTTTGACTAGATGCGCAAAAAAGGCCTTCATGGTCCTCATACCTCCATAAGGACACAAACAAAATGCAAATTTCACATACGTTCCATCTATAAAGAAGAATATACTGAAATATCATGAAATAGACTCATTAAGAATGTAATTCTCTCACCGAAAAAAATAACTATTTGGATAACATTGGGTCATAATAACATGGATATTTGAAGACAGCCGTTCATTGAATTATTTGAGAAATAGAAAGTTAAAAACGGCACATCTGCGGTAAATTTTCGCTGGAGAATCGTCATAATCTTTCTGAGGCCCATTGGCCAAAAAAAGATATGCTTATACCATAGCCACAAGAGATTCATGGAAGTCTAAAACTCGTAGACCAATTAACAAGCGGTGCAACTTTTCCATGCTATCAAGATACAAATGATCTGACCATACGTACCTGATCTCCGCACGTATATGCTTCAACAAATATACCTCGCCTCCGAGTAAAGTGACGGAAAAATGACGGCACAAATTGACAATGGAGGTTGACGTATATTTTCGTCTGGAGGTTCGTCCGTTCGACTGACGTAATCTCTAGCTTCCGGCTCCGGGAACGGGAACGGCTCAAGTTTAGACGAAGATGAGACCATTCTGTCGATCACCTGCTGTGTGTTACAAAATTGCGGCGCTGTTCCAAAATCCCTCATGACAACAGATGTGGAAATGATGGATTATCGCGCGAATATCGACAACCTTGCTCTCGCCTCTCCATCGAAGTTATATCGTGCCTGACAGACGGAACGGCGCGATACAATAGAGCTGAACATGAGATTAAAGTTTCAGGGTCACCCGGATATGAAATTTGTTTTTCCATCTTCAGAGTGAAAAGTTAACTCTTCTCTGCACCCTGCAAGGTGTTTGTGGAAAAATCCGTTTCTAACATTATTTTGTAGAGGAAATTGGTCGAATTTTGGGGATCGGGCAATATGTGCAATATACTCATCTGAGCACTGTCACAAAAATATTGCCGCAATAAATTTTAAAATGGAACACTAACGGAACCTAGAAAATGGGCCTGTTGCAAACTTTTGCTAGAGCAAAAATAAGAGTTGTTTCTTCTAGATAATGCCTCAAAAATCACGATGAGCGCATCGGCAAAGTCTGAAATGCACTCATAACTTCACAGTATGCGTAAGAAATTTGCGGTTTTTTGAGCTTCCCGCTTCAAAAGCGATACTACGGCACAGGTGAACATTTTGTAAAAGGAGTCGCTCCATCGTCGGCAATACTCATCATGGCCGACGCCAGTCCGCCAAAACACGTGTGATGGGACGANGGTTGACGTATATTTTCGTCTGGAGGTTTGGCCGTTCGACTGACGTAATCTCTAGCTTCCGGCTCCGGGAGCGGCTCAAGTTTAGACGAAGATGAGACCATTCTGTCGATCACCTGCTGTGTGTTACAAAATTGCGGCGCTGTTCCAAAATCCCTCATGACAACAGATGTGGAAATGATGGATTATCGCGCGAATATCGACAACCTTGCTCTCGCCTCTCCATCGAAGTTATATCGTGCCTGACAGACGGAAAAGGCGCGATGCAATAGAGCTGAAAGAGAGAGTTAAGTTGGAGATTATGGAGATTAAAGTTTCAGGGTCACCCGGATATGAAATTTTGTTTTTCCATCTTTAGAGTGAAAAGTTAACTCTTCTCTGCACCCTGCAAGGTGTCTGCGGAAAAATCCGTTTCTAACATTATTTTGTAGAGGAAATTGGTCGAATTTTGGGGATCGGGCAATATGTGCAATATACTCATCTGAGCACCGTCACAAAAATATTGCCGCAATAAATTTTAAAATGGAACACTAACGGAACCTAGAAAATTAGCTTAAGTTGCATCGATCAATGATTTAAAAACGTTACGACAGTTACCCAGCAGTTACCCAGTCAACTGCATGCTGTCGATTTTTTTGTCAAAAGGAATATACCTAAGACGTGGGTAAACTTTGCGACATGAAACGACGAAAAGTATTTAGACTGAAACCTCTTTTAAATGTCCACTAATGGCAACGTTGCTTTTTCTTAATTTGAATGTGCGTAAAACAATCGATTCTAGCCCTTACCTATGATGGATATTTATAATGAATTTAAATAAAGAAAGAATATTGTCGTCGTTAGTGGATCAAAAAGCGATTTCAACCTAAATACGTTTCACGTTGCAAAATTCCCTCTTGTATCAGGCATACTCCTTCTGACAGAAAATTTAATGATGCCTTGATCCATTACTTTGCTTAAATTAATGAATTTCATGGAGGAAACGAGGCTAGATTGCATTTATCAGTATGCTCTATATTGGAAAATGTTGAGTTTTATATATAATGTAAGAGTAATTAAATCCCTGTTTAGTGCGTTTGTGGCACACACTTTTCAGAAAACCCACATTGCACAGCCGAATGGGGTATCCGACAGGTACAGATCACAATTTTCAATTAAAACCTCAGACGGTCATTAATGAACACGTCAGTTTTTCAAAAAAAAAATATACATAGAAAGATGAACTTCAATTTTAGTCTAATTTTAGTCTAAGTCCAGTATCCTAGATTTTTGAATTTTGAAAATGAGTCTAAAAATTCGAATTTCCCGTCCAAAAATATCGCCCTGTATCCAAATTTCATAAAATCGATCGGTACATGAGTCGAGTTAGCAAACCTTCAAAGAGACGAAAATTCACGAAGAACTTCGGAAAAAAAAACAATTTGATGAGTTTCCTTGTCAAGAATAATATATGAAAAGTATTGCCGGAACGGTAAGACATATTTATTGATGTAAGTATTGACGGCAGTATTTGTTGATGTAATTGAATATGCCCGAGTTTTATGATTCTGATCGGTCATAATGCTCGCGAGAATCGATTGCAACAGGCACTGGTTGGGTTAAGTTAGGTCACGCAACTAAACTAACTCTCCGGCAAAGCTGGAAGTATCACTCGAGTTGAAGGCGCCCGAATCCTGAATTTGTGCACACTACTTCTACAACTTTGATCAAAAGAACTTTCCAGCTCTTTATTTATTTATTTCATTACATTATAAGCAGCCTTGCTATTGAAAAATCCGCTTACGGTGATTTGATGTTGCCAAATTTTTCCTGATAAGCACGGATTTTCCGGGAAACGTGTGTAATTTTACATTAAAGTTATTTCTCAATTATTTAATGTACCTGTAAGATTTTCGGGAAACTTCGATCAATAGAATATTGGTGCGCCTTATTCATTTCAGTGCCTTATACGCAGTCATGCTAAGAATAAAAATCCGCTTATGGTAATTTTATGTTGCCAAATTTCTCCTGATAAAATACAGATTGGAAGGTGGAAGTCCCACTCGAGTTGAAAGCGCCCTAATCCTGAATTTGTGCACACTACTTCTACAACTTTGATCAATGAAACTTTCTAGCTCTTTATCTATTTCATTATTTTATAAGTGACCATGCTGCAACAAAATTCGCTCATGGTAATTTGATGTTGCCAAATTTTTCCTGTTAAAATACAGAATTTTCGAGAAACGAAAGTAACTTTACATTAAGGTTTGTCCCCAGTATTTGTCTCTCAATATTTGTTGCTCGCAGTTACGTAGTTACAATTCAACAGATTAATGCTAATTTCCTACATTTTTTGTTTCAGAGTGCTAATCGAGGGGGTCAAATATTACGCAAATGAGCCGCGATTATTGGGGAAGACATTTCTCAGACTGGTACGTAACATCTCCTGTTATCGGGGACTTCTGCTTACGTTTCATGACACATTTAGCGGAAGTGCTATGACATGTATAATATCTTAAAGGAAAGGAAAAAAAGAGGATAAATATTCTGTAATACGCACATTAAGTATCTTAGTTACTGTAAAGTCTACTTCGAAAACCATTCGACGTGCAATTTCAAAGACTTTACAGACGGATTTAAGACTTTAAAGGATTTTTCTTCTTTCAATGAAGGGCATTTTGTGAAAATTTCAAGCTATGACACTTGTTTGCTTTATTTTCAAAAAATGAAAAAGGAGCGTAGATTTTGAAACATAGCAACCGAGATACACGTTTTTCCAGGTTCAACACCGATTGCGCCTCGTCATTGGTTTTTCTCTTAAATTTAACAATTTATTTTTTAAAGATCTTACTTTAGCGTAGCACAGGTTTCTATCGGTTCGGTGGGTTTCTGTTGATCAAATGTCATTATTTTTGTACAGACAACTCAGTTATTTGCTCATGATTGTAACATCTTGAGCTACAACATCCAGTATGATTTTCAAATATTCCTTAAGTGGAACTCGATACTGATCTTCCAATCATTGAGTGGAAACTAGAAAAAGATATATCAATTGCGGTGATTTTACTCATTACATTTTTCCAACAATTTTTCTGAGCGAACGAAGGGAAATCATACACAATATCGTCGAAGAATGATCAAATTTTGTACCGTTAAAAAATTAAATACTGTAGAATATTCATAACGTCACGCCTAAATACGAGTTTTCTATTTTCACCATTGTGCTGCACCAATACGATTGCAGTCCTAAGATATGATGAGAGAAAACGCCGGAATTACGATTCATCGGATAGGCAACTAATGCAGCTTTAGTGTATGCGAAATTGTATCACGGCTCTTTGAAGGCGTTTTCTTCGTTCGAAGCTATCGACACTGCACAGTACGGCGTATCGCAACTTCCGCCGTTGAATCGGCTGAAGGTTGATCTCAGGCAAAGCGTCTCCATCATACACATGTTGACTATGTTCTCTTATATAACTCTATCCACCTCCCCAAAAAATTACTTTTATATCTATTTAATTTTTTCTTTAATAATAAAAGTTTCTTTACTTGATGCTCAATAAACTCTCTAATACTTGCAAAGGTGCTTACCCCTAACGATGCGGTTAAAGTATTTCATTATTCGTAGGTATTAGTGTGGTTATTCCCACTACACTCTCAGTCCAGAGTTGCTAGGAAGAATTATCAAATCGATTCCAAAAAATTACAATTACACTTATAGATTTTCCACAGCATTCATTTTTCTTATATTTACCTGCAGATGATAGAGGCGATCTAATTTTACTGTTAACTCCACTCTCTCCTCTCTTTTAATGATCTAAAGGGGGGAAGGGGGGCTCGGAGGACAAATCGCATAAATTTTGAAAAAATGAGGTATATTAATGGTTTGAACCAAAACTAATCTTGAAATATATTCTGTAAAAAATTCACTCCCAAATTCCATCTTTGAAGCATCAAAAAATGAATTTGAATTTTATATCCACCACTAGGCTCCGTGTGATTTTAAGATTTAAAACACGTATTTCTCAAAATAGTAAAAACTGCACTTATGCGCCTTGTTCTCCAAGCCCCTCATATGCATTTCTCGTTTGAGGTATGTTTAAGCTGTCACCAGAATTGAAGGGTGTTTGGAATGAAGGTAAAGATGTTGAGAGCGACTTTTATTTGATGTTGAGGATAAGGTTCTCAAAGTAAAAAATTGCACTCAGAAATTTGCCATCAATAAACTTTGAATTTTTGAGGCAAAAATAATGTATACCATGGATATAATATTTATATCAACATCTGTGGATAGTGGTGCCGTGGTGCCTCGTACCGTCGAATTATGTTATACCCTTCAATCACATATTATTATCTTCTGCCTACAATGCATATCGATGGTGAAATTTTGAAAACTTATATCTCGATTGGAGTGTTTCAATTTTTGGTCCTACACTTCTTCTTGAAAAGAAATCTTCATGTTTAAATAGAACATTTTTTAGAAAATATTTTTAAAAAATTGGATTATGATTTTTGAAACGAAACGAAACGAAGTCCTTTTTTTAATTTGTCTTTGATATAATAAGAGTATAAAATCATATTTTTAAAAAAAATCTGACGCCGAGGTGCTAACTTCAGATCCGATATAAAAATCAGTCACGGTGCAATCCCGAAGTCATTACACTTATCCATTCTTACTTTATGACCATCATTTTACCACATCATTAATAATTACTGTATTTTATTTTTCAATCACAGGAAAGGGATTTTGACAAACATGTCACGTATTGTCGGGACGAACCAGCAGCTCAAGAATTTTTAAATGAAAACACAGATGTGCGGGATTACTTCGGGGTAAGTGTTCTAAAATATTCTACTCTCCAAAACAGCAGTCCACAATTTCCACAAACAGTAGCTCGTGGGTCCCTGAGCATCCACAGTTCCACAGACATAAAAATGTAATTATACAAGCAAGCATAAAATAAAAAGCTTATCATAAATACTTTCATTATATATAAAAAACAAAAAGAGCGTAAGTGGTACATCTTATTATGGAGTCTCTCAACTTTGGTCCTCGTTGTCTAATACTGATGAACATTTTAGAATCCACCCGATCCAGGATTATATCAAAGTCTAATTTTGTTTAATATAAGAATTACAGCAGAGGAAAAGTTCAAAAATTAACCGCAAACATTTGATTACTCAATATGATGAATTGGGGGCTATGGCTCCCTGGCCGCTGCGCAGTCCAACCCTCAGAGGGCAAGGCCCGCTTCGCGGGCTATCGTGACTTAATATAAATAGGGCGGGACTATCCAAGGACCATCCCCATAGGCAGCCGCAAAAATTATGAAAATCGATCCGGTAGATCTTCCAAACGAACTTAGATAAAAAAAAAACCAGCATTTGCATGGTTTAAAGGGAAGAATTCACTTAGTTATCACCCAGATGGACCGGAGTAATAAGAAATGCAAGGGTTGGGTAGTAAGAATTATTTTATATGACGACCCCCCTCCCCCCCGTCAGCTATCACCGAGTCTAAAGACGCATAGAAACATGCGGTGGATACCATTTTTCATCGTGTTTTTTCATCATCGACCAAAATAATAGAAATTTTAAAGAGAAGCAGTTTCAACACTAAATTGTTGAAGAGCGCGCTCATATAGAGGGTTATATCAGATGAGGATAGATTGATTTTGAAAATTGACAGAAAAATAAAGCGTGCCTTAATTGAAAATTTGACCGGGAATTCAAGTTTTTATCATAAAATATCCACTGACACATAGTTTCCCAATAATCGACCTAATAGGAGCTGATGTGGTATCTTAGTCTATTTAGTCACTCGGATTTTTATATTTTGAAAATTTGACCGGAAAGTTCGAGCTTTCCGTCCAGAAATACCGACCTGTGACTAAGTTTCACAAAAATCGATTTATGCATGAGGCGAGTTAGAATTTAATAACCAAACCTACAAACTGACAATAATTCACGTAAGAACTCTGAGAAAAAACAAATCGATGAGTTTCCTTGTAAAATATAATGCATGGAAAGTAATGCCTGAACGGTAGAACAAGTGAATTGCCTCTCGTGTAATTGAACATGGACGAGTTTTATTATTCTGATCGGTCACAGAGCTAGAGAACCGTTTGCAACAGACTCTGGTTGGGTTAAGTTAGGTCACGCAACTAAACTAACTCTCCGGCAAAGCTGGAAGTATCGCTCGAGTTGAAGGCGCCCGAGTCCCGAATCTGCGCACACTACTTCTACAACTAAGATCAAAAGAACTTTTCAGGTCTCTATTTATTTATTTCATTACATTATAAGCAGCCTTGCTATTAAAAAATCCGCTTACGGTGATTTGATGTTGCCAAATTTTTCCGGATAAGCACGGATTTTCCTAGAAACGTGTGTAATTTTACATTAAAGTTTTATCTCAATTATTTAATGTACCTGTAAGATTTTCGGAAAACTTCGATCAATAGAATATTGGTGCTCCTTATTTATTTCAGTGCCTTATACGCAGTCATGCCAAGAATAAAAATCCGCTTATGGTAATTCTATGTTGCCAATTTTCTCCGGATAAAATACAGATTTTCTGAGAAACGTGTGTAATTTTACATTATGGTGTGTTCTCAATTATTTAGCGTACCTATATAATTTTTGGGAAAATAATCCCAATTTTTCTGAAATCTAAAAATTATATACCGGGAGATCCCCCTGGCCACTACGCGGCCTGACCCCCATTAAGCGCTTTGCGCCCCAGGGCCCGCTTCGTGGGTACTTGTGACTTAATAAAAACAAAAAAGCGGGATTATCAAAGTTCTCTCCCCCATCAGTAGTCGCCAAATTCAAGAAAATTGGTCCTGTAGATCTTTCAAACGAACTTTGACCCCAAAAATGACCACTTACACTGTCTAGATAGGAGAATTCGCCGCTGTATCACCTGAGGACTGGAGTAATAAGCAAGGCAAGGTTTAATACAGAAAAGGCACCCTTAAGCCACGGTAAGTGAAAAGAGAGTATGCTCTTCCCTTAAGCACCCAAAATCTACAAAACGCTCCTCTCCGTTTGTTTCATTTCAGCCTCGGAGGGAAATTTTGAAACCTAAGAAAATTGGACCTATGAGAGTCGATTATGAAAACGCCTATTTTCGTACTCAACTTGCATTGGTCCAATAAGAATTATGTATAAAAATCGAATTTTTTTTTGAAACTTCCTTCCAAGACTGATACGAAAAGAATGGAACGGAGAGTTTCGTCAATTTTGGATGGTCTCAAATATCACAACTTTATCACGTAAACTAGAAAAAAATACACCAAAAAATATATGAAAAAATATTTTCTAGTTAAATTATTCGGGCTATCTTTGTATTTTATCTTTATCACATAATATATGCCTGGATCCTTTTTCAAAAATCCGTTTAGGATAGGCTCATCGAGGGACTTTATCGCCTGTTGATACTCGTAGTCACAAAAATCACGGAAAGTGACTCAGCCGTAGAACTGTCACCAAAAATGAAAATTTCGAGGGTCAGAGAGTTTAATTGTAGAGATAGGATGACACGATTACTTCGTCCGCCTTACGTCTCTCTAGGCCTCATAATCATCGTGAAATTTGATCAATTTCTTCGAATCATTTCAACTGATTGATTTGATGAGTTACTTTTTTTGGTGCATTGTGCTGTAATGAATTCAAAACGATCAGTTCAAGCCTTTGTGCTTTATTTATAACCGGTAAAAGATAAAAAATTCAAATTTAAAGCACACCAAATGGAAATGCAACAACATGATCTGATTAGTATCTCGCAGCTAGACAGGAGGAGGCAATTGATGCGACGCGAAGTTCATGACTGCAACAACGTCTGAATCCGAGCTCGATGGAAGCCCGTGTTGCATATACAGAAAATCGAAGGCGCACTGGCTTTCTCTTATTCCCAACGTTGCGATGAACTTATGCTCACGACAAACGTATGTCCTCGCATTAACTCACAACAACACTCTGCAGGAACCATTATTTTTAATTCATTGTAGAAACAACGTAAGTGCTCTTCGTTTTCGTATGCTTGAGCATCTTTCATTTTTCCCTCGAAAACATAAATTCCTCTTGATCAGACTTTCTATTACATTGGTTTCATTAAACGTCTGTAATTGATTAAATAATTAGCAATACAGCTACTATGTATGTAGGTGATTCTAGATCAAAGACAACCTTGCGAGTTGTGTAAGTTAACATTCTCTGTAAATCTGCGTAGTTCAAACGTTTTGTGGCATCACACACTTCGTCATATGTTGTCTTATCTCTCCCCGTAATAGAAATCGAGCTGTTACTCAAGTCGTTGCAATGGTTTGACCCCTAAATTAAAATTCAAAACCATTTTACAATACGCAGTCAAATATTGTCAAGATATCTCAATTTGTGTATGTTTGAATAGGCGGATCAAATGATTTTCCTAAATTTTGGCAACATCGATCATTTAGCCGATATTCAGACCTGTATATCACCCGCCCGTCATGGTGAAGTGTCATCGTTCTATTGGCAGCCAAATGAAGCGATTTTGTCACGTATACAAGAAAAACACTGCGGTATTTTGCTGAAATTCGTCAGAATTGTGGTTTTCATGCCCAACATGGCAGCGCTGAATTGGCCACCACGATTGAACGCCTTTATCTGCGTATTTTTGCCTATTGGGTTTGGTGAGCAGCCAAATGAAAAATGCAATTAATCGATTAAGTCAATCTCAACCCATCCGCTGCTCACAGACGTTCTCAGGCGACTACAGATCTAGCTACGTGACATTCGTCTAACAGAGTGTGCCTAAAGAGTGTGCCTAAAGAGTGTGCCTAAAGAGTGTGCCTCTCAGAGCAAACTCTCAGACTGTAACTCACATAATGAATTCAGTTTCGAATGTTGCGGTAAAGCTATGCATATTATTGCTCCTGCTGCAGAAATCACAAAATCTACTGTACTATTTGGGGTCATTGATAAAGACAGTCTGTGATTCAAGCCTCACAATTAAATACAAATTTCAAAAAATTACTAAGATGCACTTGTTTCGTTCCTCTGATGTAAAGGCGTGTCTCTATTTCCACTTTAAGCGCTGTTGTCCTTATAATCCCATGCCTTCCAGGGATAACGTAGTAATATGCACTATCAGTAGTGACATTATCATGGGGATTCTCCATAATATCGAATTGGATCCAAACAATAGCAGTGACATAACCTCTTTCAATGCTACAAATAAGAATGAATCGATACACATATCGTTTTTCTGTGACGTGGCACGAATAGCGTCTATTGAGATGCATCCTTACGTAAGGGGAACGACGATTTATTTTAAGTGTTTACAAAAATTCCTATTAGTTTTGTTGCGTTCATTGTGTTTTGATAAGGAAAATAATCGGAAGGCAAGTATAGGACAATTGAATCAATGAGGACGAAAACACACCAACTTGGAAAAATGAAAATAATCAAGACACACATAAAACTGCACAGTATGTGAAGAATTTAGTTTAAGAAAAAGACTTTTGCTACCGAAAGACAAGTACTTACGGGCACATTAAAGTTCCAAGTTGGAACAAATGCACTAACTTCAATGATCTTCATGTAAATTAACTGTCTTTAATGGAAGTTAAGCATTTTCGAGTTACCGAGTCGGTGTGTTTTTGTTCTCACTGATTCTATTGTGTATTAATGCTTGGAGCTTCCAGACTTGTCATACTTGATGATGTCCGTCTAATATTTAAATTTTACTTTAAATATGAGTTAAAATATTGGTCAAATAACAACACAATAATAAAAATGGCATCTACCATGGCAGTGTGAACCATAATTTCCTCCTGCTTAGATTGATTTAT